GAGCAAAAGAAACAACAACACTTTTCTCATTAAAAAGGGACAAAAACTTTAAACGGTTTTAAGGCTTTGTTTACGTGTTATGAAGTTAAGACTTAAGTGCTTTCTTGAATAAAAACTGTTTAATTATAATTAATTTATAAACATAAGAAACAGAAATTAAAGTCCTATAAACTTGTTTGTGTATCTAGTTACATATTGTACAAAGATAATATTTTATATCTATATTTATCTTAAGGGTTCTGTCAATAGTTTTAGAGCTCAAAAGTGTTACGTGGCCAAAGAAGTTTGGTAAACGCCGTGTAATACTAATTCGGTGAGCCACTTGGTGTTTAAAGTGATAATTCTCCACTTGTCAGTGTTTTTCCATAGTATTATGGGCGCGAGTTGGTCCTTTGATAGAGCTCCGGATTCCAAAGCTAACAATCCGTGCGATATCAAAATATCCTCCACACTTTAAGCTGAGGGTGTGTTATAAGAATGACAGTTAATTCCTTAAAGTGGATGGTGTTGTTTCAACGTAAAGCTACACATTATGGGAAAACTACCCCTGGATTTTAGTGTTGTAAGTTCGTAAACTTACCGCTGACCCACTAGGATACCTCTTAGCATGAATAGTGGGTGGTAGGGTGAAGCTGACTGGCTGCCTGGTCAATAGTTCAAAATTAGAGGCGATGGCAGATAGATAGTATTAATAACTTTGCCATAGAAACAAATTACATATACCATGGTATTATTTGAAATACTTAGAATGTTAATGTTTTTCAAAACTTCCAAAATCTTTATGTTTTTTATTTATTTATTCATGTTAATTTTTTATTACTTATTATTATATCATTAAGTCTAAATGATATAATATTTTGGTCACTTTTATTCTCTTAACATTAAATGTAGGCTTAACATAAATATTCAGATGAATTATGTTTTGAATCCTCATTTTTTTAAAGTAATACTACTGTTTTTTTTTTCCATTCATTTATATTACGTGGAAATAAAAGGAAAGATATCAACTGAACACGTATATCTATCTTACTATAACGGACGTAGCGTGCATGTTATTATCTATTTATGTAACCAAATCTTCTACGCCATCTACCGAGTGGCACCACAAACAAAAATCCATAAAAAATTTCATATTTTGAGTATTCAAGATTCAGACAATTAGAAAAATAACTGTGGTATGTGCAACAACCATTTCTTTATAACAGATCACAATTTTAAATAAAAGAATACTCCTCACAACAACAACACGACTTTCACTAGGACTGTATGTGAGGGATTGATTATATCTATACTTATGTAAATTTTAAACGTAGTACTGAGAAACTAGAGTTTTTAAAAACTATTATTTTTTTTTCAATAAGCGGTATCACTTTTAACATATAAAAACATTACAGTTTATATGGGTAAAATTTATGCAAAATTTGAGCTATGCACATTGGATCATTTTAATGCAATGAATTGCGTATGACTAAAGAGCACAATCCGAACACTTCGCCCGGCATGGCCAAGTGGTTAGGGCGCTTTACGCGCAATCTGAGAGTCGCGGCCTTGAATCCCCGTCCCACCAAACATGCTCAGCTTTTTAGCCGCGGGGGCGTTATAATATGACGGTCAATCCCACTATTCTGGGTTAAAAGAGTAGCCCAATAGTTGGCGGTGGGTGGTGATGACTAGCAGCCTTTCCTCTAGTCTTTCACTGCTAAATTAGGGACGGCTAGCGCAGGTAGCACTCGTGTAGCTTTGCGCGAAATTCAAAACCAAACATATATAGTATATATATATATATGCTAGTATATATAAAGTACAATTGATGATTGATATATAGATACAACAGAATTTCCTCTAAGAACAAACACGTTCTCGAATATTCATTCTTTTTTGAGCGAAAAAAGTTAGAAATTTTTTTATTGTTAAATTGGTATATGTTTCTCTTAAGATACTCCGACACAAAGACTAAAAACAAAGGGTTAGCCACATTGATCTCCAACCTACTCATCCCAACAAAGGCCAGGAAGCTACAAGTAAACACACGTTTTCTTCATGATTGAACTGTTCTTATTGTAATCACTAAATCATTCTAACGTTACAAATGCTGGAAGTATCCGCACTTGATCACGTAACTATTGGGGTCTTATTTAGGTCCGTTCATTATAAAGACCAAGTCATGTATATGACTTATTGAAAAGAACATATATCATGAAAGTCATATTGTAAGTTTTTAGTATTAACACAATGTAACATTTAAGAAAAACATCTAGTTTCCCGTATAAACCGCCTCCACTTGACAGAGAATATAATACTATTTCCAAGTTGTTGTCTTCTGCCTTTACATTCTTTCTGATATTTCGATAACTCGCCGTGTGACATATTCTGTTATTTTAGTCTTTAAGATTAGGGAACTTTTGTGAAGAAAGATCGAAATAGTAAGTTTTTCCTAACAATGCATGATCAGAACAATACGAGAAATACAAAGAGTATTACAATGTATAATGCAATACTTTATGTTTTATTGATTATATAACTCAGACTATAATTATCTTTAAATTTTAAAAACAGTCTGATTATTATTGCACTCACAGTCTGGTTCATATTCGGCTACTCAAGTATTGTCTTACGATACTAAAAATCAGGTTTCGATATCCGCGCTGGACAGTGCAGAGATAGTTAATTGTATAGCTTTGCTCTTAACAACGTAGTTGTTGTTGTTAAGCATAAAGCTACACAATGGGCTATCTGTGCTCTGCCCACCACGGTATGGAAACCCGGTTTCTAGGGTTGTAAGTCCGCAGACATACCGCTGTGCCACTGGGAGGTCCGCTTAACAACAACCACACCGTTCCAGGTATTGCCTTAATAATAATTCTTTCTTTACGGTTAATACATCAAACTATGAAAACAAGTCGTTTTTAAGTGAAAATCTATATGAATAATACGCTTGCGTTTATCTGTCCGGAAATTTTCTCCTAAATATCTCGATCAAACGCTACAAATCTCACATCGTTAGAAAGGCCTTTGTCCAAGGAGTCTGGATTCCATATTGGCTTTTCCATTCAGAATCACCTTACCTGTTTTTTACTTAGTCAAAATTATCAATGCAACGACTACGGTATACGATGACAAAATGTCGCTCTCATCACGTAACGACTGGCTTTGATTTCAACTTTAGTTTTTTTTATTTGCAAAGTATTTCACCCAAACAACACTTAACCCACATGTAATTTCCTTTAAAAATGAACATGACACTGAATACAATTTCTATGGGCTTTCTAGACTTATTTAGGTCTAAAATACACATGCACAATTCGTTCAAAGTCATATGCTTATAACTTTGTGAACACGCATTCAGACGTTTCTACATATTCAGCTAAGTTTGCCTTCATTATAACTTTACATTTACTTTACTTTACAATAATTTAGCTTTGGTTGTTTCATAGACTGCTATAAACACCTTTTAGCTACTTTTTTCTTTACTACGGGTCTTATTCTTTGCTTTTGTGAGTTTCTTTGTGTCAACTCGTAAAACCGTGTCAAAACACTGAACGCTCATAACTGCTTCATACTCTGTGTACACTATTATAAATACCATTACTTTATTGTTTATTTTACGTGTAATTTTATTAAATAAAGTTATGTCTTCGTGAGTTTGTTTGTCTTACCGCGTAAACATTTTTCAAATAGACCAGGATTTATCGATCTAACACATAATGCCTGCAAGAAAGCATAGCTTAAATGGCGCACGTGAAAATGATTGAATAAGGAAAATTCAAGCGAAGGGCATGAAAAATACCGCAAATGTTTTGTGGATCGCGGCTAGTTATCTAATAATAATGAAAAACCTTTTGCGATATATAGAAGTGAGGATTATATATTAACAATTATTGATAAAAGATTATAAAATAGTAATTTAAAATGGAGAACGATGTAAAACTCTCAAGAGATAGAGAATATGATGAAACGTTTTGGGTCTAAATAGCATTTACAAAATTTACTTTTAGTTTACATTTGTTTGTTAACTTTTAACCTCATCTACATTCACAGGAAAGTAATATTAATTCAGAGTAATTATTGCCTTTGAATAGTTAAAACATGTACAAAACCTCAATGAATACCTTTGATGAGTGAACCATATATTGTATTACGTAGCACCAAGTTTTCATAATGCATAAGGTAACTGAAAAATTCTTCTATCAGACTGTTTGTACCAACAATGTATTGAATCAACATAACCAGCATTTTCAGGACCGTTACAGTTACATTACTGCAAATACATTCAGACTAATAATAAGTTACTGCTATATGTTTTTCGCCTTTTCTTAAAATCTGAAGATGGAACTCTTGTTAAACATCAAAATTCATAGCAGAAAGAAATATCGGTATAACAAACAATATTTCGTCAAACTGATGTTAGGTATCTCAAAAAATGAAACGCCCCTGAAGAACAGTTAGCTCCCTAAACAAGCTGCTAGCCCCCAGTGGCACAGCGGTATGTCTGCGGACTTACAACACTAGAATCCGGGTTTCGATACCCGTGGTGGGCAGAGCACAGATAGCCCATTGTGTAGCTTTGTGCTTAATTCTAAACAAACAAGCTGCTTTAATATGAATTTGCAGTTTTGTTTGGAGGATCTGATTTACAAACACGTCAACAGAAAATAACGAACACAACAGAAACTAAAGCTGCGAGTAAACTACGATTTGAGATTTTTGTTTAGTTTTAGAGAAAGAAAGGTATGTATGGTTATAAAAATATTACATTATAAAAAGCGCTGAAGGAAAATTTAAAGTAGTCTAGTTCGACTTCGAACACAAAACACTCAAATTTAAGTTCCAATTATTGAAAAGAAGTAAAGACATTGACATGAGTTACTGTTGTGTGAAAAACAAGGAAACGCATTAAGAAAAATGTGTTCATATATTAAACTTTATTGGTCAGTTCATTTGATTGAAAAAAACAACAACAGAAAATAAAAAAATACATTATCGATGGGAAAAATCCTTACCTTGTACGTACGATTCTAAAGGTGAAACAGGTAAGGTGACACAGCGCAAAAGTACTGTTATTTCAGACTCACGGCTCTGTAAGATGTCAAAATGCCAAGAACTAGGAGAGACGTTTCATATTTGCTTTCGTCTATTTATATATATAGCATTGAGTAACGCGTGGCGGCGCTCCAATCGTAGCCTACGTGTTCATCCTGGCGCATATGAAGCACTCCAAAAAGAACTTCAAAACATAGTTATCTAATTTTAAAAATCAGTACGGTTGTAATAATAGTACTATGACGTTGAGATTTATTGTACTTATTTTCCATATTAAAGGAAAATGTAAACGTTAGCGTTATTCCCTTCATTAAAATATGTTACTTGTAAAGAAGCTTTAGATTAAAACACGCCTACATAGTATATAACTGATATGTATTTTGTTACGGAACCATGCCTAATTTTTGCAGTTTTGCACGAAGCTTGCGTAAATGAAACATAAATTAATTCAATACTGAAAAGTTCTTATCTTCAAAAGTACTTAAATAGAAAGAAAGAATGGGTACAGTTTTATGCAAACAATAGAAGTGGACGTGTCTAAGTGAATAGTTTAATTTTAGTGAGATAAGACAGACATAAACTGTTTAACTATATGCATAAACGTATTCGCAACTGTTAATAAACTGCTATTGAAGAGTAAAGTAGAAATATATGAAGAATAACTATAACTATTTTAGAACATTTTTATCAGAGTAAAATATTCATTTTCAAACAGTAGATACATTATTTTAAAGTTACACTTTATTAATCACAAACATTAATCACTTTAATCAATAAGTTTAAAACCATCAGTTTTCATTTACTTAATGTAGCAAAGTATGAAATGTGTCATGTGTATAAAAATATCATGTTTAATAGATGTTTCCATAATTAAAAATTCTGGATAAACATTTACAATTGTATTTTCCTTCTTAGCTCAAAATCCTTACATTTAAATGTGAGAGTTTTATTAAAAACATTCAGTTTGACCTAATTCTTGTTAGAAACAACATTTGTACTTTGAAATATGACTCCTTTGCTTTCTTAGTCAACTTACAGTATTGGAAGTGAGCTTGTTTTGGGTCACAAAGTAACTCATAAACATGCTGTTGACCTTTTAAATTCTCTCCTGACGAAAACCTGTAAAACAGACTTTTGATTACCAAGTAAAATCTTACAAATCTGGTTATGTCCATTCCTAGTAGGTGGCTGGCTTCCTGTGATCGAGTAATTATTAAAACTTCTGATCAAAAGTAAACTAACTATTCTGATACGAACTAAAACATTTTAACATTGACATATCGCTAATAATGACAGATTTATAAAGCAAGTTACTAATACTTCATGTTAAAAGTCAGTACACTAGAAAGGAATTATAAATTTCTTGAACCATCAGTTGAGTACCTTCGCTCTAAACGAGATTTTCGGCCCAAATAATAGGTTTGTTATAAGTCTATATACTTATCGCTGTCCCCACGGGGCTAACTAATAGTCCTAAATAAAAATATTAAGTAAGAATTGCAAAATATATTTTATAATGGTAAAATTGCAACATATGAATTAAAATATTTTAAATATCATAATAAACAAGATTTGATGAAGCTAATTAAAGGCTCCCTAGTGGCACAGCGGTATGTCTACTGACTTACAACGCTAGAAACCGCGTTTCGATACCCGTGGTGCGCAGATCACAGACAGCCCATTGTATAGGTTTGTGCTTAACTTCAAACAAAAAAAAAGTTAATTAAAAACAAAACAGAACAGAAGCTACATAGTGACATCAATAAATGGAACGCCATTTTACTGATGAGTTTTTATGTATTTGTTATGGCTTTTATTCCAAATTACAAACTTACGGATGTTCCAAAAATTAATAAACAAGATGTTTTATAAAAAATACAACAAAGTTTTCTCTGAATTAAATCGATATCTGAAATTAATGAAATCAATCCAAATCAAATCCACATCTTTACACAATTTGTTCATCAGTTGCAACATTTTTGGGCTAATGCTTAATCATATTAGTTCAGACTATATTTTGTCTGATTTCTGTACTCATATTCTTAAATTTTGTTTAAATGTTACCTAGGAAAAGCGCATAATACACACGTGTACATATATACACGTATAAGCAACAGTCTACAAATAGTTGGTTGCTATTGTAAAATGTAAAAAGTAACCTACAGCTACATAGTAAATGGTACCTCAATGGGGCATATTGTGGTTTTTGTGTAAATGTTTATCTTACAACAAAAGTTTGATAAAAGTTCACAATTCTGCGGCAGTCGTAACCATAAGAAAGTGTATTAAACGATCAAAATTTCGTTAGATATATGACATATAATCGATAATTTTAAAGTAAATAAGTAGAGAATATCTAACAGAAAAAAAAAAGTTAAATTTAAACGAAGTAAGATCTTTAAATTACACTTCGATTTAATAATCCCCTAAAATAAAGTTAAAAATAAATGATAAATAAATATGATAGCATAACGTAAGGAGCAAATGTGAATTTTTTAACGTTTTTCTTTGCCGGGTATTGCTTGTGGATAGCGTATCCGGACTGTAAAACTTAGAATTAATTGTTCGATATCTGTTCTCGCAAAAACCCGCTCCGGATTTTGGGGCTGTGGAGCAAATCCCACTTTCCATCAGAAGAGGTAACCCAAGAGTTGGCAGAAGATGCTATTCACTAGAAGCCTTCCCTCTGGTCTATCATTTCAAAAGTAGGTGTAGCTATGCTTTGCTAAGCCTTGTGTAGTTTTGCATGAAATTCTACAAAAACAAACAAATTAACAAACATATATTTTTTCTAGATATTGCATTTTAATCTTTTTAATTGATATTTATATAACACTAGATAAATATGTCAGTGATTAAAAGCACAGACAAATTGTTTTAATAGACATATTTTAATTCCTGTAAATACTTGATTGGAAAAGATGAAGGATAAACGGGAAAGAAAAATCTATGTTTTATTAAAGATTTTAATTTGTATACAATATATACTTTACTTGTGATATCAAAATTTAAGCAACATGTTAAATTATTTTCTATGAAAGGTAGTTTTTTTGTGTATCAAGTACAAATGAATAAACCTTGTTAATAACCAGGTCATTACCAGCTTTATGAACAGCAAACAAACAATATATATATATATCTGAATTTTTGGTGAAGTAAAGTCGATATTAAACTGTCATTGAAACATTTATTCATAATGGTGCCAGCTGTGGTCTTGTGGCTAGTGGGCCTAACTGTAAATTTAAGGATCCATAATTTGCCATAAAAACGCGCTCCACGGATGCGTTATAACAATGGCGGTCAAATCTCGCTATTAAATTAGAGTAGTCTAAGAGTTGGTGGTGAGTAATGTTGGCAAGTTTGCTTCCCTCTAGTTTATCTGTTCAGAACTAGTAACGACTAGTATAGTAGCTTTGCCGAATTTACGAAAGTATCGAACAAACATATTTTAATAACATAAACTTAGAATCCATCAAAAATGTAACTCCTCTTGAAATAGATCTTATTATTGAATAATATATAGTAACTATTTGTTTGTAATTATGCACAAAGCTACACAATGGGCTACCTGTGCTCTACCCACCACGGGCATCGAAACTCGGATTCTAGCGTTGTAAGTCCGCAGACATATCGCTGTGCCACTGGGGAGCATGTAGTAACTGAAGGCACAACAACGAAATAATATATATATATCCAGTAGGAAATATGAAAGAAATGAAAGAAAGTTTATTGTCAAACCAACTGTAAAATCATGAAGGGAAGGTTGTGGTCTCAGTTTTCAGACCATTTTTTTGATAATGTTGAATTGCTGTACAGTAGCTGTACTAATTGCACGATTTTTTTTCTTTTTGAAACGATCTCTTTGTTGGGGACGTGTTTTGAGATAAGATTTCTGTCTTTTCTTCTTCTTTATCTTAGAGTTAAGGAGTTTTTAAATTCAAGCCCATATTGAGGCCGAGAAAATTAATCAAACCAGATATTGGTAAGATAAAAGAAAGCTGGTTTTTATTTTCACCAGGGATTTATTTTAAAATCAGAATTAAGGTTCTTAGAAATAAAGGTTTGTATAAGATGTAATCAATACTTGATAACCACCTTTACTTAATTGTAAACCTTAAAAGTTCCTATGGGTTAGAAATAGTTATGTTCTATAGTATTTATATAGTTTGTATATCGAAAGGTTTATTTCCAAGTTTATGTAAAGGTGTGGACTCAGCTACCACTTGGAGAAATTTCGCGCGTTTTAGGAATTAGTTTTTCAGCTTGAACGTCATTCCCACGTGGGATAAACAGCCAGGTCACAGACACATAAGGTTCAGGTATAGCTGCCCCAAATATTGAATTACCGGGCACAGGGAATGCAGCCAGGTAGCATCACCTGTTTTTACGAGGACTTTGCCTGGCTCTTTGAATAGCACAACAGAATTGGCTTTCACTTTTATAACGCACCCATAGCTTAAACTGCGGAGCGCGTTCAGCAGTTTCACGTCCTTAATCTCGAACCTTCCGATCGTAGCACTAAACGCTACCTATTAGCCTACGTCAGACTCGTCAGTTTCAGTTTTCATTTGAAAGTAATTTTTAAAAGCATTGTTGAAAACTTAACGTTTAGCTGGTGTTTATTTGGCTGCTCTGATATCGTGGTACATATAACAGCCAATTTGAGTAACTCATATAAAATAATGCACACATTTTTCTTGTAGGCTCAGTTGCTTGAGATTGCAACCTACTTCGTAATGTTCAGACAGACACACACTAACTAAGACTGGATATGGTGTTATATGCAGGCTTATTACATGTTTTCTACTTCCTTTAGTAATATGCACTTATGAGGATTCTCGGTTCTTTAGATTACATGCTATAATTGTAGTAACACAGGGTTAAGAAAGTCGTTAAGTTCTCTTTATTCTAGTTGTTTCGTTTGTTGTTGTTCTATCTTCTGCCAGAGAGGATATTGCAGTTATTTCACATCCAGAAAGGATTAGCTCTTTTATATCTTTTGCTGGCCGTGTCCTTTGTTCCCTCACAGCATTGATCGGCTGTTGCATTTAGTCAACGTCGTGATCAAGAAAACG